AAGATTGTTTAGGAGTGGACATAAGGAGAAATTCCTTTACGATTCAAATACTGAGGGTCTGGAACAGACCACCCAGAGGTGGTACAGTCACCTACCTTGGAGATATTTAAAAAACAAATTTGACACATACCTTGCTGGGGTCATCTGACCCCAACAGTCTTTCCTGTCCAAGTGCAGGGGGCTGGACCCAATAATCTCGTGAGATCCTTTCCAGCCCCTAATATCTATGAATCTATGTAACCGTAGTCTTGTCCCAGAAAAATTTTCAGTACACTTGTCATAGATTTACACCTCCCAACATGTCCCCTTTTTCATCCCCACCTCCCATTTTCCACCAAAAACTGCAGCATTGGCCCAGTCTGCCAGCTCCTTTCATAGCCTCTCTGTGCCTTCCTCATGGTAAATTTTATACATGTATCTGATCCAGGAAACCATAACCATCTTTTCCAAACCCAACTCTATTGTGACACCAATGAACTGTCAGATGGACTTTTCATATGCCCACTCATATCAATGCATCTTGCCCTCCCATACGCTTTGCAAGTGGTTTCAGTTCAGCTGCAAGTGCCCCAGTGCAGGGACTCTCTTACTGCAAGTCTGAGCAACAGCAAATCCCAGAATATCAGCCTCCTGCTGTACTCAGCCTTGGTGAGGCTGCAGCTGGAGTACTGCATCCAATTCTGGACTCCACAATTTAAAAAGGATGTGGAGAAGCTTGAGAGTCCAGAGGAGAGCCACAAGCATGATCAGAGGGCAGGAAAACAGGCCTTATGATGAGAGGCTGAGAGCTACAGGACTCTTCAACTTGGAAAAGCACAGGCTCAGGGGGGACCTGGTAGCTGCCTATAAGTATATAAGGGGTGTGCATCTGGATCTGGGGGAATGCCTGTTCACCAGAACACCCCATAGGATGACAAGGTCAAATGGTCACAAACTCCTCCAAGACCATTTCAGGCTGGACATAAGGAAGAACTTCTTTACTGTCCAAGCCCTCAAGGCCTGGAACAGACTGCTGCCAGAGGTGGTGCAAGCACCTACTCTGGACTCCTTTAAGAGTCAATTGGACATTTATCTTGCTGGGATCCTGTGATCCCACCTGACTTCCTGCCCCTGGGGCACGAGGCTGGACTTGATGATCTTCCGGGGTCCCTTCCAGCCCTAATGTCTACGAAATATCTTGGTGAGAGTGGCCAGGAGCAGTCTTGGGTGGACCTACTGATTAAAGGCAAACCACAGCCCAGCAAAAGGAAAAAAAGACACAGGTATTTAATCAGCAAACAAGATGTACAGCTTTATGTTCTTGCCCCCTCCCCATTGTCAGTGATTGGGACACTGTCCTTGTACAAGTCCCCCACTCTAAGGCACGTTCTTACAGCACAGTTTAACAGCACAGCATATTGCACCACAAACATGTCTGACCCAGGCACAGGGCATAACTACAGCTCACAGGAGGTCTCCATCTCAGAGGAATACTTAGACTTCTTTCAGCATGACACAGCCAGGAAGCAACATGGGTATTGGGGTAGATCGGCAGGTGAATTCCTACTCCAATTTATGATAGTACCACAAAGTGAATTACTAAAACACATTCTTAGCAGCAGCATCCCTGAAAGGTCTCCGTTGCAATAAACCAGAGCCATCACAAACCCACAGTAGAGTTCACAGTTGAACGTGGAGTCCACCCAAGACCCCCAGGTATCAGGAACTAAATAAAGTGCCAACTCAGAGCCAGCATTGGCCATCAGAGTGAGGAACACCATCTCCCACGTGTTTTACCACATTTCCCTGTTGCACTTTTGTGCCTCTGTTTTGTTTTCTTCCAAAGGATTGACTAGTAAAGAGTGGGATGTCACAGCCAAATCGGAGTTAGGTTTGCATGATGTAAAACAAGCATACAGGCCAAATGCATTCGTAAGAGGCTTTAGAAAGGGTGGAATGAAAATGACTTGAGACCCCAGGCCACAACCCTTTTGCTCCATGGAAGTTCTCAGCCTGTATCCCAGAACCAAACAACTCCTAGCACCTTCTCACAAGCTGACCCAGAATCCCTCCCAGCCTGATGGGGTGTGGGGTTGCATTAACCCCAGTACCCAATACCAATAGGAGAGGCCCAAGAAAGCAAGTCCTTTGCCTTAAAACAATCACTGGGGCAGAACAGACTAGTCACTGGGACAAAGCTGCTCTGATCAGAGAGAAAGCATGTCTGGACTGTGTCATTTTGAAGGGTAGAATTATTTTGAAAAGCTCTCATGGGTCCTCAGAACCTCACATTTATTAAGTTGTTCCCACCCTGTCCTGCACTGGACTCTCTGCCATGCTGCTGCCTTTTGGCCCAAGGCTTGATTATCAGGGAACACTCAGGTAGTGGGAAGCTGCATGCACCTATCAGAACCCTCCTGTCCCTTCCAGGCTCCTGGGGACACGTCAGACTTATTTTCTGCAGGTTCTCATTTGCAGGAAAATAATTCCCTTGAAGACAGGCAGAAGGCTGAGACTGTGCTTGAGACTGCAAGACACTACCAGGGGACCCTGTACAAATCAGAGAGCATGAAAGTGAAATTCTTGGCACACCAGAGACCCTGTGAGACGCTGAACTAGAGGGGAACAGATGTAACTCACTCTGTGCTGACACACAAAGTTCAAAAGCAACATGTGCAAAAACCCCAACTGATGTGCAAGGCAGAAGCCTCATGTGATGCCTAAAACACTTTAAGATTTAAGAATTTGCATAAATTAATATATTAGTCTGAACCCCTGCTATCCACACATAAATTAAGATATGACACGAGTCAGCACCCACAGTGCAGGGTCCCCAGTTGTAAAAACTGGATGCCCTTAAGAACTAGAAAGACGAGAACTTTTCTGTACCCTTTGGACAAGCCAGGCAGCTGCACAAGACATACTGCTTGCTGCCACCATATTGAGCTTTTCTCACGTTCCACCAAACCTGAAAACCTTTGGTATCAAGCATTCAGGAAGAGAGAAAAGGGAGATGTGTCAATGGTACAGACAGCAAGTCTGTTCAATGCGTCATCAGCGCTGCAAGTCCTGGCATACACTGGGGAGCTGTTTAAAAAAAAAAGTCAACAGGCCGTCTAGAAAAACAGCACCTGACAGTCCCTGGTACACGAAGAACCACAAACTGCCAGCCCACACCAGGGAGAGTGCAATCCTCTCACTCACATAGTGCAAAAATGACAAAGATCCAGTCAGGCCCTGTTTTACATACGATCCATGAGAACGGGTCCACGCTACACCTGGATACGAGTGCAGGATCTTGAGTAAAGTGCACCCTATACCCATGAGAACAAGCAATCGAGGGCCTGAATTTGTGACTGCAGCAACTGAGGTCACCCCTAATGTCTACATCTAAACAGGGAGCAGGCACAGCAGCTCCCTGGACCCCACCCCTGCCAGGTAAGCAAAGGAGAGGAACCTTCACCCCGGCTGCTTGGAGGCTCGATGCTGCCACTGCTTTCGGGCAGATGACGAAGTTTGGTCTCAACAGAGGATCTGAGGGGCTGTAGTCGTGCCGCAGCTTCCCGAGAGCAGCTGGCGCGCACAGCGGGGCAGTGTGTGGGGTGCTGCCAGCCGCCTGCAAAGGGCCCTGGTCTCCCGCAGGGAGCGGGGGAGCTCCCAGCTGGTCTGGTGGGCGCAGGGAGGCTGCCCCAGGCCTGGCCCTCAGTTCCCATATACGAGCAGGGTCAGGACGAGCAGGAGGAGCAGGGCAGCCGACAGCTCCAGGGCGTCGCCGTGCTTGCCCCGGGCCTCCTGCGCCTGGCGCTGCTTGCGCAGCTCCTCCCTCTGGCTGCGCAGGAACTGCTCGCGCTGCAGCTGCTCGCCGTAGTGCGCGCGGTAGAAGGCGTCGAAGTCGAAGATGGGCCGGGGCGGGAGGCCGGTGGCCCGGATGGAGC